ATCTATCTGTCAAAGTGCATTACATATGTGAGAAAGAGAATAAAAAAATTGAGCTACATTAAAATACTATAAAAAGAGAATGAATGAATGAAATAAAAGTAAAAATTTATATTAAAATAGAAGATTAACAGAGAAATGTATTGGACTGTGCTAAAAACCTTTGTTAGATAAATACGAATTTATAAAGGTTTAAAAGTTCTGAATGTGCTGAAGTTGTTTAATCGCTCTTTTAGAGAAGCCTGTAAAAATACTGTTACAATAATCCAGTCTACTAAAGATGAATGTGTGTATGACTTTCTCAAGGACCTCCTTTGACATTAGATTCTTGATTTTTGATATATTTTTTACCTCTTGATGCCTGAATTTATTTACAATAAAAGAATGTAAAAATATATTTCTAATGTCATTTGCTTTCAAGTTAATGTTAAAGTAGAAAATGTTAATTTGTCTATAGAACATAGAAAAGATATAAATTCAGGTATGTGATGATATGATGTAGGTATGATGCAAATTAGTGACAACAGGCATAAATGAGAATTGAGTGATTGCAAAAGGTTCCCAGGTACGCATCGAATGTGCACAAACGCCATCTCAGCTGCAGTCTGAAAGGAAGAGGTGTGATGCGAATTTGCGACAGTCTGCGTTAAGGGGTCATTAATGAAAGAGATTCGAGATTAGCATTGTCTTTAAGTCTCCCCTCTTTGGCACCAAAGACAATAAGTTCTGTTTTATTGGTATTGAGTTGCAGGAAATTACAGTGCATCCAGTTTTTAATTTCTTCAGTGCATTTGTTTTGTGAATCAATTGGCCCGTGTCCGACGATGTTGTTATTTTGGACAATTTGGATAACTGGCAACATGTACAAACTAAACAGGAGAGGCCCGAGGATCGACCCCTGGGGAACTCCACGTCATTTTTATTCTCTTAGATGTACAGTTGCTGGTGGTCTCTATCTTTAACATAGGACTTTAACCACTTTAAAACTGTGCCAGACAGACCTACATATTTTCCCAGTCTATCCACGAGAATGTCATGGTCTACGGTATCGAGCTCAGGTCCAAACAAAGAATTATTGTTTTTCCACAATCATGGTTAAAACGGATATCATTTAAAACCTTTCTGTGCCATGATGGGAAAAAAATTCCAGACTGGTAGATATTTAAAATATTATTAAAGGTTAAGTAATTTCAGGTTCAGGATGAGCAAATGGAGACCAGGAGCGTCTGCAGCTTCCTCTCACTGACGAGACAGAAAGAAACTGGTACCTACCTGAGCCGTACTTTAATCTGGGTGATGAAACTGCACACACACAGGTTTTATTAGTCATGGAAACAAATGGCGATTACCAGTTATTACAGTTTTTCTCCATTACTTAAACACTATACACGCTTAGAACTTTATCATTTTTCAAAAAGGAAACCCATGTGTGTGGGACTGTACACAACAGAATAAAAAATGTGTGCAGATGTTTACTTTTGTTGTGTTCATCCTGTGAAAAGGTTTTTGAGGGAAAGAACCACAAGCAGAATTACTTATAGCCAGTTATTGTTTCTGAGAGCTTGTGTGTCCTGTCTGAGGGCAAAGTTTGGTTTTTTTCAGCAAGATTGAATGGTTTTGAGTGGAGAGCTTCATTTTGACCTGAAAACAGGACGTTTGAGGAACTGGGTGGGAAGTTTTGGATTTGAGTTCAAATTTACGGGAAAAAGATGCATCAGAACAAACCGTAAAGACCAATTATTTTACTAAGGATAGTCTGTTGTTCTGTGTGTTGTTGTCAGAACTAAAACATGCCAGTGTCGCCACCTGGATGTTTCTCTCTGCCGGTGCACACGCCGCCTCCATCCCTCTTCTTTTTCCTCCAACACCTCTGTTTTCTTTCATCATCATTGTTATTTTTCACTTCTGGAAGACGAGGACAAACACCATGAGAGCAAATAAAAAAAAATCAATCATCTGAAAAGGGTTTTCACATAGGCTATTTAGTGTCAGTCTAAATGTACGTGTCCAGAAAAATAGAGAGCCAAAAACCTAGGCCTAGATTAAAGTGTGAAATTCACAAAAAATCTAAATCACTGGTGTTTTCTACTGATTACGCCCAATCCACGGCAACGTGCATGATAATATAGTGATTGTGGGCTAAACTCAGGTGTATTTCCTCACTGTGAAGTCTAATCTAAGTTTCCACTGCATACCACACAGCAGAGGTGTGTGTGATGTTGCAGCCTTGCAAAGTGAAGCGATGTGGTTCCTTGAAAAAAGACAACACCATTTTTCAAAGCGTTTCTCTCATAAATGTGTGAATACAGTGTCAGACAATATTCAAGTTTTTAACTTGCAGATTTTATTCTCCACACAGTAGCCTAATCTTGGAAATTCTTTCCCCGGCTCCGCCTTCTTTATTACAATGGACATAATGCGCAGTTTTACATCTTAATGATATTATGATATAAGTGTAATGATATATAAAAAAAGACGTCAGTTAACTCTGAGGAGGTTGAACTCTCTTCGTAGGACACTGGTCTGAGAAATAAAACAGACAGAAACCCTGACGCCTTTAGCTGTTTCAGACTTTAAATCTTCATATTAATGCGTTTGTTGTATAAGATGTGAGTATTTGACAGTGAGAGAGAGCGAAAAATCAAACATCCAAAGATTGTCTATTGACATGATGCATCACTGTGTAAAGAAAAACAACGACATTAGAGCCCTAACTGTAACCCTGACAACATAAAAGACTGAACACCTGATCACTAATCATTAAGAATGGACGCCCTTCTTCTTCACTGTTAAACAAATTGTGTTGCTATTTTTAATCATGTAAAAAAAAGCTTCCAAACAACAACATCTTCAGCAGCCGACATCTCAGCTGTCAGAGCGTCCGTGAACGCACCACCGAGGAAGACTGGTGCTTTAATCTGGGTGACATCGACCACAGGATGAAACCCAGAAACAAAGTAAAGGTGATAGATTATCTAACGTCACAGCTGCACGGAAGGAAGTAGAAATGATCTGCAGCGATGTAACATTTAAATGTGATTAACAGAAAAAGCCTTTGGGAGTGTCTCTCACACCTGATGACCTTAATGCAGAGGAAACAGCTGGAGAGAGACGACTGCTCTGTGTCCTCATTTCACTAACTCTCTCCTCTCGTTCAGACCTCGCCCTGATTGCTTTGGGATAAAGTGTTCAATGGATTTTTATACACGTTTTAATAACAAAAATAAATTCACAGGTGTCATTTACACTGTAGACTTTTTAAAAGCATTTGTTAAAAATGTTCTAAAAATAGCAACAAGAAATGAAACTGCTTTGAGAAAGGTTTATTTGCACAGTAAGAAAACATGTAATAAAAGAAAGAAATGTCCAGAAAAAGTAACTCTTTTACTGGAAGTTTTTTTTTTATATTATATTTTTACATTTTTAAATTATCACCTGCCGCCATAACCTGGAGCAAAATAAATGTCTCCAGAATGCAGAAAATCAAGTGTTTATTGCTTAAACTCTTCTGGGGGAGGACCACTCATATATTTCAGCACTGAACATTTCTTCAAAACAGTGTTAAAATATATTTTCTTCTGGTTCTCGTGACCCCATGCAGTATATCACACCTTTAATCTGAGCCCTTACATCGCCAACACTTTTCAACACAAAGCGTAAAAAAAAAAAGAAGCAACAAAAAGTCCTGCAAGCTCAAGTCTGGTGATATTTTTCTTCTTTTCATCAAATATGGATTCACCCGCAGCTGAAAATAGTCCCCAATGAATGCTCTATTTCCTCCTGTTTGTTTGATGAAAGCAACTGTTTCAGGAAACTACTGAGCCTTATCGGGCTTCTACGCGTGGGAGCTGCTGACAGTGAGGAAAATATAGAATAACAGCAGCGTAGGAGCCGTTTATGTTCAGCAGTGTTATAAAAGTGTTTTCTTGCTTTTGTCATGTATTTGTTTTGTGTTTTATTGTTTTTACACGTGTTAAAGCACTTTGTAACCTGTTTTTGAAAAGTGCTCTACAAATAAAGATTATTATTATTATTATTTCAGACACAGTCTTTAGATGCACAGGGTTGTATATGTTGGGGCATCTAGGTGACAGGAAATGGTAGGCACAGGTAAGAGGAGCGCACACAGTCCTCACCAGACCAGAAGAGACCAACAAGCTACAACCTGTAACCACAGAATGGGGAACAAACAGAGTATGAGACAGTACTGCACTAAACAACAAACTTAACCAGAAATAACGAGGAGAAACCTTTTCTCTCTGGGTACGAGTTCAACAACATGCTGATGATTTTTCAACATGTTGGATGTCCCGAGGAGAGGGTTCGTCCTCTGGGTGCAGAGATCAGGACCAGGTCTGTCTCTGGACTGAAGGACAGCTGAAGCTACTCAAACTAAGGGCTCAAATGAGGGGCGTGACCCCACACTTTGCTCATGAGATGATGACAATAGTTGGTTCACGAAAACAAGACGAGAAGATATTTTAACACTGTTTTGAAGGAACATTTAATGGTTATGCAGCTATGATATGCAGATATGGGAAGTTTTGAGCATTAAATACTTAACTTCCTGCATTCTGGAGAAACTTTCTGCATCAATTTATGGTGGAAATGTCTTTTTTATGTAAAGGGAAAAACAAAACTCGGGTGGTTTTTAAATTCAAAATTTAAAAACGTGATGGAATAATAATAATATAATGCAGGAATCAGTAGCTTGTTTTTTTGGATTGCATTGCATGTTTTCTGTCCCCAGAGTGAATGACTCCAATGCCCAGTTCATTTTTCAATTTGTAGTCAGTTGAGAGTTTGGGGGCAAATATATGTGATGCAACTTACTTATTGACGTGTATTAAAAAGATACCAACAATCGCTGCACGCGGTCAAGGCTGAGGCTGAACGTGACCTTCAGTCAGCATTTTGTGACAGAGTGAGACGTCTGGGATTTCACCTATCTTTGGAGTGAGAGAGAGAGAGAGAGAGAGAGAGAGAGAGAGAGAGAGGTTCAGTCCTGCCAGGTGTCTCAGTCTCCGTCAAACCGAAAATCTTCATCCGTGGATTCACCGTCTCTGATGGAGAAGAGCGAAAACGGAGGAGGAGGAGGAGGAGGAGGAGGAGGAGGATACCACCGGGCGGCCAAGCGGGTCCGGACGGAGGAGAATGCCGGCGCGGAGGAGCTGGAGGACGGGGAGGAGGAGCAGGAATCCACCGGAGAGGAGGCAGCGGGGAGCGGAGGCTCCGACAGCAGGAGCCGGAAGATCGGAGGGAAGGTGGGGGCGGTTTATCTGCGCTGCTGTCTCTCTCTGTTGGAAACAACAAAACGCGTCTGTTTGTGTCGTTTCCACCGTCTGACATTTAGATTCATGTGATGGAGAGCACACACACACAGATCTGTTGGTGTTTTTCCTTTTGTCAAACTGTGTTTTATATTTAAATCTAAGTTTGCAAGTGTCTCAGGGTGAAACATCAGAAGCTCTCTCTGTTCTTATGATTTAAACCTCTGTGAGGACTTTATTATTATTTATTTCCTCCTCTTCACTTCATCCTCTGAGAGACATTCAGTCTTTAACAGTTACTCAGAGTCCTTCAGGAGTGTAAAGATGTTTTCAGGTTTTCTTCAGTATTTTAAGCTTAAAAACATCCACTGCAGCAGACGGTGTGTCACTAAAGCACAGTCTTATCATGCTGTTGATGGTGAACAACTGTTCAAACTTTTGATAATGAGCTAAATTGGAGGTCTTGGAAAGCTGGAGGAGGTTCTAGGCTTCATTTAGGAGGGTTGTAGTTATAAAGCGAAGGCCTGCGGCTCGGGTCTCTGTTAGTCACAGGGTTGTTGGTTTGAGTCCAGCTCCACGTGTCAAAGTGTCTTTGAGCTAAACTCTGCACCCACGTTGCCCCTGATTGACTCAGAATGTTTTCTCTGTTAGAAAATACATCTGAACGTACTCTGGCCTCCTTGTTGTAGCTTCTCTTAAAGTTTCCCATGAGGTGAAAATCGATGTTCAAGTGTTTTTATGTGATTTGCACTAAACGTCACCAACACATCATCTCTGGCCCAGCAATGACAGAAACGTTGTTTTGAAGCTGTTCTTGATGATAAAACACCATCAACACCATCATGACCGTTTGTCATTTTCTGGAAAACAATTTTGAAATGTGGGTGACTCATCCTACACTCAGAGCGTATTAATTTAGCGCCCAATGAAAAACATTCTAAATTTTTTTAAAGCCACCAGAGCAAAGTGTTTCAGGGGGCCAATCAGGCCTCACTGGTGACTGGACAAAAACACAAAGTTTATTCACTGATTTTGTTGAAACTGCATCAGATTTGATGGAGAAAAGTTTTCTCTCTGATGTTCCCCGGCTGCTCTGCCTCAACCCTCTTTTTGATTCAGTTTTCTGATGTATAGGTAGCTTCACTTGCTGCAGAAGTAGCTGCTGCTGCTAACTAGCTGCCATTTCTTAATAGCTCAGTTAGCGGTGCAGCTAACACCTCTACTCTAGCACTGGAGGTTTTCAGGCACAGGGGCGGGGAGACCCGGCAGGGAATGATGGTGCTGGAATGAACACCAGAACCTACGCAGTTCTGGGTGTGTGGTTTGGAAGTGGCGCTCCAGGTCAAACTGAAGTGTGTTTTGTTGCAAAGAATCTGTAGAGGACAAATCCAGCATAACCTGAAATCCTTCTCTGCTCGTACGGTTCTTAGTTAGACTCTGACTTGGACTCCGTCCGTCACAACCTTGTTGGATTAGAAATTGTTCTGTTTTTAATAATATGCTAGCATGTCAGCTAGCATATTATCCAAACTAATAACACGGCTACACGAGTGAGCAGTTGTTGCCAGACGTCCTTTAATTCAGCTGCGACATTTAGGAATCAAGTAAAATTCCAAATATACACAAAAAGGTTGCATGCTTACAGTGCCGTGTGCTGTTCTATTATTGTCTCATCTTTTACTGGAATATTATTTACCCGTCCGAGATCACCATGCTGCTGCAGAGGGTTACTGGAACCTGCAGCACGGCAGGTCTGGTCCCGTTTGTAACTTTTTAGTTTTAGTTTAGTTAGTTATGTGCATTTGCTGCCATGAGAGCCGAGAACACTTCCTCTGATAACACCTCTAACCCCTAACATGCACTTCCCGTGCTCTTCTTCTTCTATCCCCTTACAGTTCTCTTGTATTGATTGCATTTGTTAATTCTTCCCCTAGGTATTTACCTTATTGGCGCTGTATGCACTGTTAGCTCTTACTAGTATGTATTGTCACTTGTAGATCTCTTTCTGTATTGATGCTTGGTTGTTCCTCAAATGTAAGTCGCTTTGGATAAAAGCGTCTGTCGAATGGGTGAATGTAAATATGATTAAAGCTTGGTGAGCTGCACACTGAGGAACAATCTTTTAAGGAGGTGACTTTTGTAGCTCTTAGATATTTGGATATTGGCGTATTATCTTTCATGCCACAGTATGGAACTTAAACAGTGTCAGTCTGGTCTTTGGTCTCTGGCTCTGATCCTCTGCTCAGTGAGAAAATATGGCCTCTGAGGTTTTGGCAGGAAGTGCCTGCTGCGCTCAGCAGGAAGTGAGGTTACCTTGATGAATGAGCCTGTGCTATTCTGAGTGATGCTGTAACCTTCTTAGTGGTCAGATGAGCTCAGAGTAAATTATCAGGGCAGACAAATGCGATCAACACATCGAGACACAGAATTGCATGCACATCCAGGGCACGAAGCTCACGTTCCACCACATCCCAAAGATGCTCTATTGGGTTGAGATCTGGTGACTGTGGGGGCCATTTTAGTACAGTGAACTCATTGTCATGTTTGAAATGATTCGAGCTTTGTGACATGGTGCATTATCCTGCTGGAAGTAGCCATCAGAGGATGGGTACATGGTGGCCATAAAGGGATGGACGTGGTCAGAAACAATGCTCAGGTAGGCCGTGGCATTTAAACAATGCGTAATTGGCACTAAGGGGCCTAAAGTGTGCCAAGAAAACATCCCCCACACCATTACACCACCACCAGCAGCCTGCACAGTGGTAACAAGGCATGATGGATCCATGTTCTCATTCTGTTTACGCCAAATTCTGACTCTACCATCTGAATGTCTCAACAGAAACCGAGACTCATCAGACCAGGCAACATTTTTCCAGTCTTCAACTGTCCAATTTTGGTGAGCTCTTGCAAATTGTAGCCTCTTTTTCCTATTTGTAGTGGAGATGAGTGGTACCCGGTGGGGTCTTCTGCTGTTGTAGCCCATCCGCCTCAAGGTTGTGCGTGTTGTGGCTTCACAAATGCTTTGCCGCATACCTCGGTTGTAACGAGTGGTTATTTCAGTCAAAGTTGCTCTTCTATCAGCTTGAATCAGTCGGCCCGTTCTCCTCTGACCTCTAGTATCAACGAGGCATTTTCGCCCACAGGACTGCCGCATACTGGATGTTTTTCCCTTTTCACACCGTTCTTTGTAAACCCTAGAAATGGTTGTGCGTGAAAATCCCAGTAACTGAGCAGATTGTGAAATACTCAGACCGGCCCGTCTGGCACCAACAACCATGCCGCACTCAAAATTGCTTAAATCACCTTTCTTTCCCATTCTGACATTCAGTTTGGAGTTCAGGAGATTGTCTTGACCAGGACCACACCCCTAAATGCATTGAAGCAACTGCCATGTGATTGGTTGATTAGATAATTGCATTAATGAGAAACTGAACAGGTGTTCCTAATAATCCTTTAGGTGAGTGTATATGTTGTTGGTCTGTGTTTGTGTTTTATCTCGACACACTGAAGGATGTAAGAGAGTTTGGAGAGATCTGATTAAACAGTTGGCTGCAGCTTCCTCCCTCCTCAGCAGATCAGTCAGCGCTCTGCAAACAGAGAGCATCATGGGAAACAAAACCACAATGCATCTCCCATCGGCCTGAGACACCAAACAGAGGCTGTCAGTTTGAAGCTGGTAATGGACAGACCGTATCCTGCTGACCAGTTTTACATCTTTAATTTAAATGCTGCTGCTCCTGGTTTTTAAATCAGCCTCCTCTCTGATGGAGCGAAGCTCTCGAACGTGGACTGACAGAACGAGATTAAAAATTAAAATAATAACCAATTAAATTTCAGTTCATGTGTTTCTAAACACCAGTCAGAGCATTTAAATCAACCCCAGTTTTTATTTTTCTGCCAACAGTGACTGAGTTACTGATGTCTGCAGTGGATTATATTCAGGTGGAGCTCTCTCCGCTACAGCTGACTTCAAAGCTTTATTGTTATAACAGAGATCAAACAGAAATCACCTGTCGAGGTGTGAAGCCGACCCGAGTCATTCAGGAAACCAGCTTCTGGAGAATCAAGTGAAAAACTGCTTCAGTTTCCTTCATTAACTCAGGTAGCTGATCTGAATGTGACACTACATCCATCCATCATCATCCAGTATACATCCATCCATCCATCATCATTCATCATCATCCAATATACATCCATCCATCATCCATCCATCCATCAACTATCCACCCATCATCTATCTATCCATCCATCATCTATACATCCATCCATCATCCATCTATCCATCCATCATTTACTATCCATCCATCATCCATCCATCCATCATCCATCCATCCATCCATCCATCATCCATCTATCCATCATTTACTATCCATCCATCCATCCATCATTCACTATACATCCATCATCCATCCATCATCCATCCATCCATCATTTACTATACATCCATCATCCCTCATTCACTATACATCCATCCATCCATCATCCATCTATCCATCCATCCATCATCTACTATCCATCTATCCATCCATCCATCCATCCATCATTTACTATACATCCATCATCCCTCATTCACTATACATCCATCCATCCATCCATCATCCATCTATCCATCCATCCATCATCTACTATCCATCTATCCATCCATCCATCCATCCATCATTTACTATCCATCCATCCATCCATCCATCATTTACTATCCATCCATCCATCATCTACTATCCATCTATCCATCCATCCATCCATCCATCCATCATTTACTATACATCCATCATCCCTCATTCACTATACATCCATCCATCCATCCATCATCCATCTATCCATCCATCATCATCTACTATCCATCTATCCATCCATCCATCCAACCATCATTTACTATCCATCCATCCATCCATCCATCATTCACTATACATCCATCATCCATCCATCCATCCATCATCCATCTATCCATCCATCATCATCTACTATCCATCTATCCATCCATCCATCCATCCATC